TGCTGTTGCTACTTGTTTTCGCCTTGACTTTAATCATATTTCCATCAGCAACACGCTGCGCATATTGAACAGGATCAGCAGCAGCGGCATCAGCAGCAAAACAAACATAAAAACGAACACACACCCATTCACACACACACACACACACACACACCCTTTCACGCACACCCTCGCACACACTGCAACAGCCAGTGCATGGCTTCCATTGCCTTTTGTCAACATTGGGTAATTTTTTAATCTCCGGCATTGAATGCAGCTTAAAGCGCACAAGCTGCACATGACTTGACAGCATTTTTGATACCCTTACCAATGGGGTATATGAGCTATGCGGAAAGTGTTGGCCTTTAAGCATGCTTGGTGCGGAATTCTAACAATATTTGTAAGCCTTAAGTCTCCATATCAATCAAATTTCTCTTTCTAATCAGATATTTTGGTATATATTTATGTCAATTTGTCAAGAGATGCAAAAAACCCAATCCAGGAAATATCAAAATGAGCTTGTATTAAGCTGCCTTGGAAATGTATGGCAGACAGTACAGTAAAGCCTGCCATTCGCGTTAATTTCTTGTCTCTTTTATATGTCTTATGCACACGCAAAGTCATTGCCTAATTTCGTTAGAGCATCTCACATTCGGTGTCTATCCTTGTTTGCTCTATATACATTGTAGCAGTCTCTCTCTCTCTCTCTCTCTCTATCTATCTACAAAATTTACCAGCACTTGGCGAAAAAGTCAACGCTAAAAGTTCTTCAAAAATCAGCACAAAATGCGACAAAAGCTAAAGAAATAAAATAAAAATAAAAGGTAAAAAATATGAGGGAAAATCAAAATGGCGTCGCCTCGTATGAATGGCAAATAGCGTAATGCTGCACGTACACGTTGCACGGCCATTGTGTGTGGCAACAATGCAGTTGGCGACTGTGTGGCAACGCTGTGCCACACTCCAGCCACAATTCTGGCAACGCGGGCTAACTAGTTAACGAATTCTGGCATTGCATTTGTGTCCAGTGAGCAAAAGTTTTGGGATGCGCTGCCATTCATTCAATTTTTGTCGGTTTTATTAATGCTGGCTTCTTCTCGGTTGCACCTTCAAGCGGAAACATTTCCGGCTGTGCGGCCAGGAGGCTGGGCGGAAGGGAGGAATGGCGGGGCCAGGGCAAACGGAAGTTGAGCTTCAAGTAAATTAACGTTAATTAACGGAAGTTTTTCGGTAAAGTGCGCGACAAAGTGGCAGCCCGCCCAGGTGCGTGCCACCTGAAGCTGCAGCAACTGATGCTCATTGCAACGCCCAGCCCCTACCCCTCACCCCTTCATGGAGCTTGCCTCATCTTAAGTCTGCAGCTTAAGTTAAAGTAGCTGCTGTCAGTTGAAGTGGGCGCCCAACGTGCCCCAAGCTGCAAATTAGCCAAGCGGCTGCGACTGAGATGGAGAGCGAGCTTGAGAGTGGGTGAGAGCGGTAGAGAGAGAGAGAGGGACGGAGGACGACTTACCTCGCAGGCTGAGAGCACATGTGCTTCAGCTGTGGGTTTGAGCACTTGGCCTGGCTTTGCCTTTGGCTTTCTGCGTGTGCATTCAATGCGCTTTTGAAGGACAATGGAACTTGTTCGCGTCGCCAGCTTCCAGATACTCGAAATGCTCAACAATGGGCGACAAACAATTGAAATCTGTGTGCGCTTTGTTTTAGGCGTATGCCCATATAAAAATAAAGAGCCTTTAGCTTTTTAGCCAGGGGTTGTGCCACACCCCTGACGACAACTACCCCCCGCGCTGCCCGCACATTTGCTGCAGCAATTTGTACAGCTTTTAATTAAGGCCAGCCAAAGACAAGACCACAAAAAAAAAAAAATAAAAATATAATATGCTCAAATGCCCAGCCAAATGAGCCCAAAAAATGGGGTAAAAAAAATGAAAAGAAAGGCAAGGAATTGCCCGGCGAGTGACGAAGGACAATCATAATTGCGGAAGCAGCAGACCAGGGTTTTAGCAAGGACTTCGAAGGACTCGCACAAACAATGCACTCGAATGAGAATTTACGACTCGCTGCCCGCTCTCCCTCTCTCTCTCTCCCTCTCTCGATTCTCCAGCTCTCTGCTCCGCTCGAGAAATTAATTATCGCATAATTTTCTGGCTCAGTGACATCTGAAGAGTTTCATTTACCACTTTTTGACAGATTTTCGCCCTCATTTTATACGCGCATTTCGAATTTCGTATTTCGCATTTGGTATTTCTATTTTTATTTGTGATTGATTGTGAACTGGCATTAAAAATATAAAAAATATTATAAAAAAGGGGCACTAAAATATGCGTCAACTGCCCTGCGACCAGGTGTTGGCCGGGATCTCAGACCTTTGCAGGGTTAGGAATTTAAATTTAAATTTCATTAGAGCAGTAAAATATTTCCCTTACCAGCCAGGACTTAGCTACAGTGAAGCCTGTCGTAACTATCCTGACTATCCTGCACTTAGAACATACTTTAATTGAACTCTAAGCTCAAACATATTTTTAAAATAGAAATGGAAAAAAATGTCGCTCCAATTATATGTCCATAAAATAATAATATATTTTAGTCAGCTTTTTTTGCATTATATAAATATTGAAAATGTATTTTCTAAAATATTTATATGCAATGCAATAAATATAAATGAAATATTCGTGTAAGCTTACTAGATCTTCAAAATTTTGTTTGTCAAAGTTAGAATATTTCTAATAATTTATAAATATTTTCGTTAATATTTAAACAATATTAATCATTGTTAAAGCTTGTTTTGATTTAGATAGGAGCTACACCCTATAAATTCCTTAAATTTCATAAACAGAATGGAAAACATTTCACAATGCATGTAAATAGATGTATCTTTTACAAATTGAATTGGCTAAACAAAAGATAACTGTGAACGAAGCGAAAATTGTGCAAATACCTTTAAAGAAAGAAAGCCAAGTTAAATTCAAGACATTTCTAGGGAAATTGATATTATTGCATTGAATATACGCTTGAATTCGACACGCTGCTTCTGTCTGCCGCCCCCATGATACTATGTCACGCCCACATTCCTGTGAGTCTGCCTCTCTCTGTGTGTGTGTTTTCCTTTTCTTGTGCCCTTCTTTTGAGCATCATTATCAAATGTTGTTTGGTAAATCATTGCAAATGTTAATTCAATAGCTCAATCAGAAATCAGGGATAGCTCCAGAGAATGTGTGTGTAAGAGATAGATAAAGAGAGGAGGGGAAAATGGGAGCGGGCACACAAAAGAACTGCGCCTAAGTTCAATGCCAAGTGCCCATTGTTATTGCTGTTCTTCACGTTGCTGTTGTTGCTCTTCTTCTTGTTGTTGTTGTTGTTGTTGCCGCTGTTCGACTGCCCTTAGTCTTGAGCATTTCCTATTGTACCTCGCTGCCCCCCCCCCCCCCCCTCCCCCTGCTCGTGTCTTCTATTTTATCTGTTTGGCGCTTTGTGTTGCCTTGAACAAAAAAAAAAAAGAAAACCAAAAAGAAAAAGACCCAAGACGAAAGACAGAAATTTGCGATTTCTATGGAGATGCTCTCATTTTTGTGTCGTCCACACTCCTCTGAAAAGTGGTGTGAAGGGAGGGTGTGCGTCTGCGTGTGTGTGTGTGTGTGCGTCTCTTTTGCGATATTCAACAGATGTTGTAATTGCTCATAAAACTTGATGACGCTGGCGCGTTTAAAGCAACAACAACAATAACGGCTCAAAGAGAAAAATATTCCAATAGTTTGCATATGGTGATGGGCTATCTCTCTATGTGTGTATTTACGTGTGTGTGCTTGTGTGTGTATTTATCTTGTCTGTGCCTTTTTAAAATACATACATACATACATTGTATTTCAGATGTAGGATACGGGTGCGAATGCCCCTGTGTGTGTGTGTGTGTGGGATCTGCTTGACATCAGAATTCATACGTCACAGATTTGCATATGCTTATTTAGTACAATATGTGACTTGGCTTTCTCTTGATTTTCCAAAGAGTAGGGGTATTCTTTTATGATTTTTCTGCGGACTTGGCAAAATGTTCATAGCTAATTTGACTGCAACCGAAACACCGTCAGCAGCTGGCGGCCAATCGCATTGTGCCGCTCTTACGCAAGCAAAGGACTCTTTGCTCTCTCTAGCGCTACCTTTCTCGCTCCCACTCGCTGTGCGCTGGGCAAGTCCCAGGGCTAGCGTCAACGGAAACATGCCGTTGACATGTGTTTTGCAAATGTTACGCTGCCTTTGGCATTCGCCTCTTGTTTCAATTTCTTTTTTTTTTCTCCTTTAACTACAAATGTTTTTGTGTTAAAAAGACACACACACACACACACGCATAGCAACAAAAACAAGCGCAACAAAATACATGTTTTCTAATGCGCGATAAAATATATATTTGTGATAAAATGTGTTGGTTGCCTGGCAGTGCCGTCTCTTTCCCACGCGCAACGCCACAAGCGATCGGCGATGTCGTGGTCGCTGCCGCAGTCGCGGTCTCCGCTGACGTCGACAGCACAGCACACTGATAAGCTGAGCGCAGGCACAGCATGGCAATGGAACGTGCGCCCGCTCTCTGCTATAATACACTAACAATCTATCCGCTGCACGACTGCGCCCAGAAGCGCAATGCGCACGTAAATAATTTAGGCGGCAGGGTATACAGAATGCGGCGCGTCAAAATCAATTTGTTTGCGTTTCAGTTCATTTCGTTTCGTTTGCGTTTCGCGCGTTTCAAAATTGAATTCAATTTCGACTGCGTTTTTCAACTGTGCTTTTTTTTCTGTTCTTTCTTTTCTGCGTTCTGTGCTCAGTTGTTGTGCGTCAGCGTTGGCGTGCAGAGCGGCAGCGGCAGCGGCTGCTTAAGGATGTGTGCGTTTGTTTGTGTGTGTGTGTGTGTGTGTGTGTGCGTTGGGTGTGCTGGTTGTGCTGATAAACATTATATACATATACACAACAATTTATATGCTTTATCAAGTGTTTAAGTACGAAAATTCTGTGCTCTATTCATTTAACAGCTATGGCCATGCCACGCGCGTTATCATTGGACACATAATTGCCCTCAATCGGGCTAAATGAAAACAACTCGTTGACGTTGCCGCCCCACAAACAAAAATAACAAACAAAAAAAAAAAGTGTTGAGAGTAAGAAAAGCCTATTACTATATCTTCTATAAGTAACCGCACACTCCGCTCATATCTCATATAACAATTAAGCGCTACGCGTCGCTTAATTGAAATGTTTCAAGGCAAACAAATCAACGGGACAGACCGAAGCCCCAACAAATTGTGGCACGCAAATTGGAATTTCATTGTCTTCCACTGACAACGGGTGAGTTTTTTTTTTTTATCTTTAATTCATTTTCTTTTTATACAATTTTTTTCTTTCGGCTTTCATCAACCATCTATATCCATATATGTTTGTATGTTTGTGGCTATGTCTTCATTTAGATTGTCAATGCCTTTGAATGTTGCCTCCTTTTGGCATTACGCATATGCCACATGGCCATCGTAAAAGAACACGTACTGTATTCCATATGGAGGCACTACTCACTGCACACATACATACATGCTCATGCATACATATGTCTACCCACTTATATGGTCGAGTAATACCAAAAATACATATGCTTATCGCAACACAAAATGCTCAGCTCGCATTGCTGATAACAAAGCATGCTACACACAACATTTATACACACACACACACACACACATGCACACCATTTGGCACTCAACATTTTGATTATAAAACATTTAATTTTTTTTTTTCATTTTTTTCTATTTTTGAAAAACTCTTTTAAGCATATTCCAGCACTTGTCAGACTCACGAGTAGTTCATTAGATGTTTTTTTATTCCTCTAATCTATTAACAATGCTTGATTTAATAATACTATATGAAATCGCATTCCCTTCTAGGTTCTTGCCCTCTTAATAATTGCCTGTCTAATCTTTTGGTCATAACAACATGTCCAAAAATTGTTTTTAAATCATTCGAGAAACTCGTGTTCGGCTTGCAATAATATTATGTCGAGAAACTAACTGAACTGCTTCTGGAAAGTTGTTAAACAAAGTTGCCTGCGAACAGGATATATAAATTGTTCCTTGTTACAGTTACGTGCCTTCATTTTCCATACTTTCTTTCCTTTTAGCTGGCTTCTACTAATTAGGAACAAGCTAAACAAAAATTTATATATATTGTGCTGAAAAAACTATGTTGCATAATGTTAGCTAGCTCTTGCTCTTGCTGCCACACCTTCAGGCGTTTGTCTCTATGCGGGCAAACAAGAAATGCCTTGAAAACTTTGCTAGAAAAAAAAAAAGAACAAAACCCTTTTTCTCACATTTTGCTCCAGTTGCTGGCCAAACAGGATATTCGGGTTGTTCATTAGGCCAGCGAGCTGCAAATTGCGTTGCATAAACTTTGAACTGCCGCTTGCCACAGATAGCCACAGGCAGCGCAGTGCATGCAGCGGGTATACCCTGTATGTGCAGCATATGGGGTGTGCTCAAATTGCTGACATGTCGGAAATAAGGCGAGACAAAGTTGTCTTGCATTTGTGTCTTTTAACATTTGCAAAAATTGAGAAAATACTTCATTAAACCAACCATAATCAAGTTTAAGAAACTGTGGATCTTAATTGGTCGTAAAAATTACATGCATCCTTGTACTTAGCAACGCAAAGAGGGAGAGCTCTGAGATCCTATAAAGCTTATTCTAGACAAGCATCAACAGACGAGTCGATATAGCCATGTCCTTTTGCCAGTCTGTTCTCTGTATCTATTCGAACTTATCTCTCAGTTTTAAGGATATTATTTTTGAAACTTTGCATAGGTCATAGGCATAGGTTTTTCTATGCCAAAAGATATTTTCTTCGAACTCAGAACTTAAGAGCTGCAAAGTCGTAAGCCAAATATCTACTAGGGTATCAAGACTTCGGTGTGCCAAAGATATCCTTATGTTATTGCTGTTATATATTTTTTACAGTATATTTGAGTTCTTTATTTGATTCTTTTGCAATTTGTAATTCTTTTTTAAATCATTTTTTTCTGGGTGTATTTTTTACTCAGTTTCATATTCAGAGATTCGTGCGGCTCTCGCATGTGTCATAAATTTCGCTTTTATCATATTATTTAATTTCGTGTTGTGAGGCGCGCAAAACTTAACGGACACACAAATACATGCGAATGCATGTGTATATATATATATGTGTGTATATATATTTACATATGTGTGTGTTTATATATATATGTGTTCTGCGTGCTATATAGAATAAACAGTGCTCCAGTGGGATATGATAGCGACTGTTACACACACAACAGGCACACACACACACACACACACACACACACGCATACAGCAAGCAAATACATGTGCACAATCTGTATCTGTGGCTGCAGCTGCATATACATATATGTGTAGATACATTTATATTTATATGTCTATATAATGCGCGTCGCGGGATTGTGTGTGTGTGTGTGTGTGTGCGTGTGTGTGCCTGTTGTCGGCTTGGCATGCCGTAGCAATAACAGTTAATTTATTCCAATTAAGGGATTTTCCTGTTGAATATGCGACTCTTTCGCTATGTGCGCCGATTACACACACACATACACACACACACACCCAAGCCCCCACTTTCCACCCCATCCGCCACGTAGCAGACCCCTTGACAGTTACAAGTCCAATTCGCTGCACAGACGACCCCCCAAGCAGACCCCGCCCCCCCGACCAGGCAGCCAGCCCCTCTTCGGCTGCTACCTTGCCAAATGAAATTGTCCAGCTGCCTGTCGCCTGCCCCACCTCTCTTTTATACCCTTCCCACACTCACTCTTTTGTTGAATTGTTTGCCTTTTGGGATTTTTGCTCTGTCTGTTTGTTGTTGTTTTTGTTGTCAGCAGCCTTGTCGCTAAATTTACACACACACACACACATGTGCTTTTTTTTATAATATTAGAATGGAAAAAAAAATTAGCAACATGTCGTTGTCGTTGCTGTTGCTGTTGTCCTGCCTCCTGGCACACATAATATATATATATATACATTTTTTTTTTTGGCCCTGCTTGCATAATCCTTGCGGGATTTGCCACACATGACAGCAGAACGTGCCGCAGGAATTCCTCTGTCCTTGTGCTAATTTTGTGTCAGCTAACTCACGCCCACTACCTCTTCTCTACCTTCTCTACCCTCTCTGTGTCCCTCTGACCCCTCGAAGTGCCGCTGCCTAATTGTATTTATGCTGCCAATTTCGCGGCGTCCAGCTGCCACATCTTTGGACACATGCGGCATATCCATCAGCGGGTCGCAAACATTTTGATAAATGCCCACAAAAAGCGCTTCAAATAAATAAAAAAATTTTAACGGAAGCGTAATGTATACACACACGCACACACACACTATGCTTCGATTATTAAAATTCTAATTGAAATTCAAATGTGCGCCGCCTTCTTCTGGTTGTTGTTTGTTGTCGCTTATCGTTCAAGTTGCCCCGCCCGCCTCTCAAAATGTTGGCGACGCGTCGCGCCGTCTCTGTCCGCACATGTGCCCCGCTGCCCCCATTAGTCCCGCCCGCCCCACTTCAGCGGCTTCCGTCATGCGGGCTCAGGAAGTGGACAGTTAAGCGCAGTCGTTCGCGCGTATGCCCTCTGCCCTATAAGGCATATGCTAAACTGTTTCTCTAGAGAAGTGAGGCGGTGGGGCAACAACTTTTAGCAGACACTGTTACGCTGCTTGTCGCAGTTTCAGTTTTTTTGATCGAGTGTGGCGCTCCCTCCTCTCCCCCCCCCCCCCCTTCTCTTCCACTATTCCCCTCATAAACAGCTGTTGTTGTTGCCGCCTTGGCGCACGTCCAAGAGAATTTTCCTCGAGTCCAAACATGAAAAGAAAATAACATTAATTCAATTTGAATTGGTCAAGCATATTTATTGACATATTGAATGCTGTGAGAAATGGGCAATTGATTTGATTTTATGTCGATGGAAACGGAAGGCAATCAATTTTAACGAACTGCTAAAAAAAAAAAGAATAGAGGTCAAAAATAAATATAAATAAAAGCCAAATTCATACGAAAACAACAAACTAAGAACATCAAAATAATAATAATAAAATAACATAAATTAAATGAATTAAATCGAACGATTCATCAAAAATTATATAATAATAATAATACAAATAGTTAAATAAAAAGAATTAGGCGAATATAAATTTATTTATTTATTATTAATTAAAATAATATTAAAACAAATAAAACTAAACGAAACTAAACATGAGAGTAAATGTTTTTTAAAATTAACATAAATGAGTTTCTAGATTGTTTCGAAGGCTTATTTTCTTGTATTTCATAAATTCAAATTGATTTGTGATTTTATTTTGTGATTAATCAAAGGGCATTGGTTGCACGGCAAACTTATTAGATCTTAGAGAGCAGGGTTGCAAATAGCTCTTGTATTGCCACTTTGTGTGGCATCTATGTGCTGCCTCAATCTGTGCGGCAATGCAAACTAATCTGTCAAATTACTCATGCAAATCACACGGCAAATTTTCTGCAATCGACGAATCCGCAACCCCAAGGCAAGGCAAGGCTCAGACTGAGGATTGTTGTTGTTGCTCGTGTTGTTGTTGCTGTTGTTGTGGTTGTTCTTGTTGTTGTTGCTGTTGTGGTGGTGGCAGCGCACACATGTAATTGAGCCTGCGGTTACTTGAGCCTGGCCAGCCTAGCTGTTGTTTGGTGGTGGATTTTCTTGGCCATTTCGCAGGCATTGCCCATCAATTAAATTGACTTTGCCCGGGGCACAGTTGCTGCTGCTGCTGCGGCTGCTGCTCTGTCACAGTCTCTATGATTAATTAGCGTCTTAGTCTGACGTTTTTCCCAACAAGCAGAGCTCGACTGTGCGGCCATTAAAACATTTCCAATTGATTGGCCGCCCGGCCTGCACGCCGTGTCTCCTTGCCCTGTCATCCTGAAGTCTCCATCTCCGCTTGGATATCAATTATGCATGTGAATTGTCTAGCTGCGAATGCTCTGCCCACTTATCAGAGCACCAGAGCACCAGTGGACCAGAGTCTCTGCCCTAATCTTTGCTTAGCTGCGCAAACGACTTCCCTTCAAATTGTGCCCCGTACTGGATTCTATTTGGTTCACAATTTCTATTTGCATGCACAACTCTCTGTTTGTCTGTGTATTTGTGTGTGTGTGCGTGTGTGTGTGTGTGTGTGTGTGTGTGTTTACTGCACAGATAAGCAGTCAAAATACACAAACACACACACGCACAACCAAACACACAGACATTTGCTTATCTTTAAGCAAATGCAGTTGTAATTGCCTCGGCTCTCAA